CAATCAATCAATCAATCAATCAATCAATCAATCAATCAATCAACAACCAGTTTAATCAGTCAGTCAGTCAACCAACCAACCAACCAGTCAATCAATCAAATCAACCACTCAATCAATCAATCAACCAGCCAACCAACAACTAAACTGTCAATCAATCAACCAACCAACCAACCAACCGGTTTCATCAATCAGTTTAATCAATCAATCATAAAAAACAAGTTTTAGATAAAATGTTTAGTAAGAAGCTCCACCTCATGTTGTTAAACTAAATGTTGAGGATGTGTACCTTCACAGTGAGGAAGACGATGTTGTCAAACTCTTTAACAAAGCCTCCAACCTGCTGACCTTCATCATCATCATCAAAGAGCCAAGGACGCCTCTGAACCTGCACCTGAGAGACAGACAGGTACACCTCAGAGACAGACAGGAACACCTGTGTTGTTCATGGAGGATTGTTTACCTGCTGATGAAGAGACTCCACAAACCACTCGTCCCCCATGAAGTTACAGGCCATGTCTACGTCCCCGTTATAAATCAGGACTCTGTACTTCTGCAGAGAAAAACAAAAACACCCTCGTCTGATTGGCTATAAATGTGTAACTTCCTGTTTAGACAGGTGCTGTGTGTGTTTACTGACCAAAGCAGCCAGCAGCTTCAGGTACTGTTTACTGACATCCAGGTAGACTCGACCATAGTTTAGATTCACCTCAGCACTGAAACACGACACATGACAGACACACACCAGACATCAGGACCAGCAAGAACAAACCAGGGACAGGTGAACCCTTACCTGCAGATGACCCAGTCAAGAGCGTCGGGACTGATGTGCAGAGCTTTCCTAACGTATGGATTGTTCAGGTAGAGGGAGGAGGGGGTAGAGTTGGTGCAGGGCGGGTCCAGACGGACAGACAGGTGCAGAGCTGCCAGACTCTGGAACTTCTGTGGACCAACACAGGGCCTGAAGCCACAGAGAGGACAGTCTACCTTAAATGTGGTCAAATGAGTCCATACACACCTGGTTCCACTGCTGAGTCACTTGATGTTTGACGAAGATGTTCCCAAGATCTCTGATCAGCAGCTGCCCCCGCTCCACACTAAAAACCACCACAAGGTTAATGAATACCTGTCTGAGGTCCAGAACTCACCTGCTTCAGGTCAGTGTACCTATATCTGTGAGGGACTCCCCCTGGACAGGAAGCATACAGGTTGTACATGTTCAGTCCAGAACCGTAGACGATGTCCTGAACCTCAGACAGCTGCAGAAACACACACATGCAACCTTAGACCACACAAGACCACATGAGACCTCATATGTGAACCGCTCCAGACTGGTTCAGACCAGTGATGGATGCTGGTCTTTCAGGGAAGGGAAGCTCAGTTTCAGCCTACATCAAAAAATGTGTCGGTTCATTTGTATGTAAATTCTACATTAAGTGTGTCCGTCTGTGAGTGCTTTGTGACGTGGAGGGGCTCAGCAGCACCCCTGGACAGAAACTGTGATAGAAGTCAGAAAGAGTGATAGATGTCAGAAAGAGTGAAAGATGTCAAAGAGTGATAGAAGTCAGAAAGAGTGAAAGATGTCAGAAAGAGTGATAGAAGTCAGAAAGAGTGAAAGATGTCAAAGAGTGATAGAAGTCAGAAAGAGTGAAAGAAGTCAGAAAGAGTGAAAGATGTCAGAAAGAGTGAAAGATGTCAGAAAGAGTGAAAG